AATTAATGTAATATAGTATTGGCCATACTATATGATGTATTGCTTGTCTTTGTTTAATAATACAGAAGACAAAGACCTTAAAAAATAATCGCATATCGCATCGCAATCGCAATATTGGGGCAAAAAATCGCAATTAGATTATTTTCCATAATCGTTCAGCCCTAGTTCTCTGACCTGAATACGTAAGGAAATGACTGTCTCGTCCGAAAGACTGTTTCCAAGCCATGTGCTGGGGAGACCCCAACTATATCTAGCTGGTATTGCTAAACCTCACGCACAAGTTCAAGAGGGTTAGGCTATATTCATCCAGGCACCACAGGCTGAGGCCTGCCTAACAGGTTGGGAACCCAGTAACTCGGTCTTGGGCAGAGTGAATCCAACTATTAAAAGCAATCCTTGCATTAAAAATTTTATAAGATTGTCCAATTACTTTTAAACCTGTGAAATGGAGGATGTATGTATCTATGTATCTGTGTATAAAAATAACTAAATAGCTATAACTGCTACAGTAATGCAATACTTTTGTTAAACCCTTGAATAAAGCTGAAAGTTTGCACTCCAATCATATATTGATGGTTTAATTTAAATTCCACTCTGATGATGTTAGGCAAAATTTCAAGAAATATATAATTATCAAAATACTAATGGACCTGACTGTATGATAACAAAAGCTAGCACATGTTTTTCATGGTTTAATCAGAGAAATATGATCCCAGTTTGGCACAACTGGACAACACTGTCCTACCAGATGCGCAGCTCTTTATTGGACTAACATTGTAGAAGAAATTGTCCCCACCTTCAGCTGGTCATCTTTGGAGCAAAGAGCTGCATCTTTTTCACGAATCATCTCCTTCAGCTGAGTGACAAGCTGCTCAGTCTGGGTCAGCCTCTCTGCCATTTCTTCCACAGGAATCTCTCCGCCACCAGCATGGCTGGGTGGAGAGCCCGAGCCCTGAGAAGAGACAGACGAGGTGGTGAGTCAGTGAAAGGAACACTGATAATGTTGCAGTGAGTGCGCTCATGTTTATTTGCAACACAAAATGCTGCTTTGTTTAGAAACTGTGTAGAGTATGCAGAGACTGAACATATATATGAGTGAGAAGTATTAGAATGATAATGCAGTAATAGTACTGTAATATTATAATAGAGTGCAGAAAATGTACAATATGATTTGCAAATTGACACTGATTACATCAGTTAGTCAGAACTAATCCGAATGTCAACATATGAGCTATAAAGCAAAGAGGATCCAGATGTGAGGAGCTTTAAGCTTTAACAGTGACTCCGCGCCCTCACAGGCAGCCAAGTCAAAGCCAGCAGTCCCACTGCATAGCTTACACCAGGTTTCCTTTCAGCTAATTTAATGCCTTTTATATAATAATGACACCACGTGAGATGACATGAAATGATTCATCACAGTGTGAAAAATGCTGTCAGGTACATAGAAAGGTTACTCTGTAGCATTTGTAGCAGCTGTGGTTTTGAAAAGGTGATGGAGGCAAAATCTGGAAACAGTCCAGTGTTCCAGTGTGCCAAAGTCTAGCACTTTAAGGGCTTAATGCTTGTGTAATCTTTCAGAATATAGTTTGTTATCGGTGATAATCAGTGATTACTGAGCCTTCGAGGAATGGGAAACGAGCACATGTGTACTTACTCCAGAGCCGGGCTCTCCCTCTTCACCAGAAAACCATTTAAGCATGGTTACTCTTGGACCTGAAACATCAACACAAAAAGTAAATATTCACAGAGTAACAATGTGCCCTCTTTCAGTTCTCTTCAGTGTGTTACAAGAAGAAAATCTGCATGTATTATTCATCACATCTTACGGCACACACCTCTACATCCCATCCCATCTTTTTTCACTGCTATGGTGAATATTCATATTCAACAATTTGCTCAGTGTAAGTACAAATACTCCCAAGAGGCAGTTTTGTTTTGGTTTTTTATCTTGGTTCTGTATAACGGCAATGGACAGATATTTGTACCATGGTCACCTCGGGCACACCGCTCTGATGGTGAGCCTAAAAGCCCCACCCACCTGCTGTTCAAACTTCTGTTTACAAAGAGTAGAAGAAGAAGGGGTGAACGGGAAGGAGCAGTATATCTTGTTTCAGATAGGATAAAATGAGGGCCTGCATTAAGGCTCAGCAGAAGCTAAATAATGCTTAGATGGAACTGTGAATCATCCAAAGCAATATGCTGGGCTAATTATCTCATTTCTTTCATATCAGCAAGGATTTTGGCATCCAACAACTCTCAAAACAAAACAGTCTAATGAGGATAAAACCATTTCTTTGCATTCACTCGTCACCTCTCTTACAGTGGTGCACTTTTGCCTCTTCAGACTCACTTTTGTTTAGTTCAGGATGAGCCAGGGTGACTCAAAGTCAGCCTTTGTTCAGGAAGGACTACGTGGAAGAAGTACAAGTCATAAGATTTCACTAAGTAAACCTTTAGAAGAACTATTAAAGCCTTGTGGTGATGCAAAGTGAGTCAGCTGCTGCCTAGGGTGTGGAGATGGTTGCCCTTATGAAACGGGCTTTATGTCAGAAACGCTATTTAATCTGAGCCTAAAGTTCTCTAAAAAAATGTTTATAATTGACAACAAAAGCCTATAATAATGTAAATAAATTAGAAGGTCAGCGGTCACAGCATTACAGGCAACACAAGACTGTGCTCGCAATGTCCGCTCTTAAAATATTTACTAGCACTCTAGAATATCAGATTGACTGAGGAGTGCAGGAAGGTTTTCAGGTCACCTGAGCTAACAGGATAAAGCTATGCCAAGTCAGACAAGGGGCTGTTTGGATGGTGACCAAGGATAGATTTAAATATAACTGTAAAGACTTTCTAACTTTCCAAAAGGCCATCAGCTGATTTGGAGCAACAAAAGGCATGTCCTTCCTTAAACCCAGACCGACAGGTGTTGATCTTCCACTCAAACCACTGCAAGACTAAATGTAGGCTTAAACTGACCACGACTCGAGGCCCTGTGCTTCACATAGGGCACCAACAGGGTGCATGATCAGCCAAATTCATTCAGCTCGCTGAACCGTCCAACCCACGTGACGCAAGGTGGAAATATCAGGTCAAACTGGTTTTCCGATTCATGCCACAGTGTAGCTTTTCATGAATTTCAGGACTTTTTTAGGTTTCTGCGAATTATACCTACAAACACAAGTTTCAAGCAACAATGAGCCACAAGCAAGAAGAACAACTGAAGTCTGCGTGAAGTCTGTAACGCAGAATCATTCCCGGTCAGACTGGGAATGTGTGGTATTTTATCCTTAAATCCTCCTAGTGTGCCTAATATATGGAAATTAGGAGCACGGTTTAAGCTACTGCAGGCAAACATTGTTGAAACACAAGCTCGCGTTTATATGGTAATTATACACACACTAAATTCATAATAGAATCGCCATGTTACAGGAGGAAAAATAAGAAATGTAGCGTCTCTAACGTTTGCTCGACATTAGCCGAGCTTGAGTTAGCAGCCGGGATCAGCAATTCTTACAACTGACCGTCCCGTACCACAAGTCATCCGACTTCATAACGCTTCGCAGTTCGTTCAGCAGCAGGTCTTTAGGGGCTGCCCCGTGCAGGTCGGTCGGGGTTTTTTTAAATGACCAGTTATAGCTAACGCTAATCCAACCAGCTAACTTAATCTTGTCAGCTATGCAGCTACATGCTAACATAGTTAGCTCTGAATTTCATCTTGGCCGCACGAGAAATTCGCTATGTCATGCGTCTTATACCCGGTAAAACATTACTTTCAACAGCTCACCGGGTTCACAAAGTCATGAAGAATCCACTTCAAAGATCGCCACGTTAAACAAATCCTGCAATATTACATTTTTATTCTTCTTGACGACTAAAGTGAAACGGGACAGATTGCTCACGTTTGTCAATAGACAATTGGGATGACAATGCGCATGCGCATTTCTGTTATCTTTGCGGGAGTCCGGAGGGTACCCATCTGTGTATAATTATTAACGAGTTACACATTGCATATAAAAATAATGTATTTGTCCACAATAAAGGAGTTAAGTCTTCCATTAGCTAAACATTTAAATTTAAACACTGGAATAGGCATGCTGTACTCTCCAATCCTTATCAAAGAGAAACCAGCGACCAAGAGAATAGTCGTCATACCATTTCCGCTTTCGTTTAAACGGCCCTTTGCTGAACCCTAATTTTGTTGGCAAACAGTGTGTCACCACAATAGTTTTATCAAGCACCACTTTCAATCTGATATTTCTTTTTTTCTCCTTTTTTAAACGATAAAAACTAAAATGACTCTTTGCTCTATCTAAGTATTTCAACAGATTTCTTTCTGTATTTCAAGAAATCAAAACAACAAAATTCAAATTGTCATCACCTTGCCTTTCTCCCCCCAACCGCTCAACCTTGGTATTCACGTAGTTTGGAGAAAAAGCAAGAGAGGTAAGGTTAGGGTGGTTTGGATATGTGCAGAGGAGTAATAGTGGACATACTGGACAAAGGATGGCGCAACTAGTTAAGAAGAAATAAGGAAGACCAAAGAGAAGATTCATGGATATAGCAAAGAAGGACATGCAGAGGTTTGGTATGACAAAAGAGGAGGGACAGGATATGTTGGCACGATATCCACTATGGCAACCCTTAAAGGGAGCGTGTTGTTAATAATCGTTTTTTGGTTTTTTGCAACTAACAGTAAGAACAAGACGTTTACATTACATATAAACATACATATAATGTAGGCAGTGTGCTGTAACGTATCCAATGCTACATACAACTGGCTATTTTAAAAATGACCACAGAGGTGTGCAACCTTTTTAATCTGCTTAACTCTGCATTTATCAGTAAAACTCTTTTGGCTATTAACCATTGGTTACAAATTGAGTACAAACACACACATTTACTTATTCAAAAGTGGTAAGTGCAAGGCGCCAAACCCCATCTTTATTTGATGTTTTATTTAAACTCCTGAGAGAAGTTGTTCACATCTCTTGGCAGCTGCATGTTCCACACTTTTAACCAGCTTGTTACTGCCCATGTCTGTCCCTGCTATTAGCTGAAATCAAGCATCTAATGCAGCAAAAAACACAGCGCTGTGAGTTTCGACATGCTAAACACTAGTGAGACACAAGGAACAACAACTGAAAAATATGGCCAAAGTAAAATGACAAAAATTGAGACTGCCTCCAAATCCACATAGACTTCCATGTTAATGCCCAATTTTACAACACAAATAAAGAGTATAGCTAACAGCTTACTTTTTAAAGCCATATGCAAAAGTTACACGCTTTTTAGACCATATTTAATTATATCACACAAGGAAATAAAGTTGATGTCAACCTTAGAATTGGCTTAAAATGTATAGATATTACATGCTAAATGTGCTTGAAATGCCATTTATACCAAATTCCATGAGATCACGTTGGGCTTGTCTGGTCCTCTGCAACTGTAAACTTTAAAATTATTTAGAATTTAGAATTGGATGATTTATCACTATAATTACAAGTGTCTGCCATGAACATATCATAGATACCTAAATTATGCACTTTTGGAATGCAGGTTCGTCAAATCTGCAGCATGAAACCTGCTCATGAAATAAAGTAAAGTTGACCAATTAGTTATTTGACATACAGTGAAGGAAATCTCAGTGTTCCAAGTTCCCTGGATTTGAGAAATCAGGTTTAATGAACTTGAGAGTTTTTTGGAATTAACTGTTAGACCTTCAGTGCATTCATAGCTTCATGTCTTTTTTATATATGATGCTGTCTTTTGTACAGACAGACATCTACCACCTGAACTCCTGCACATGGAGAAAACACAATAACAAGACACTACAATTCACTTATGAAAACAGAAATGTTGTCAAGTTTAAATGAAAGTTAGTAAAGCTTTCATCTCTGATATTAAAGAAGAAAATGTTTCAATATGAAAAATTACAGGGAGTTTTGTTTGACTTTCACAGCTTTAAAAGACGTAACTGGGCTTCAGCGTAGATGTGTACAAACTGCTGACCCGAGTGAGTAACTAGTACAGTATGAAAAACGAAGAAAATGCAACATGATGTAAATATATATATATATATATTTTTTTATTAATAAAATAATTGCACATTTCATATAAATGATCTTTCAAGTTCACCAGGAAATCTTTTGATGTCCAAACAGGAAGTGAAACACTACAGAAATATCTGTGCTGATGAACTCTATATATGTTGAGACCACATATATTTTCGAGTATTCTCCTGAAATCAGATGATAGTTTGATGGCACCAAGTGCAAAATAATCTCCTGTCCTGTCCTATGTCATCCCACATGTACAGTATGTAGTGTAATTTGTACATAAAGTGACAAATCCACAGATAATTATACCAGTTTTAGTATCTCTCAGCTCCTTGTTTTGGTTAGTTTTTTACCGTATTGCCTGGTTTCATCAGAAAGTTTCTTTTAGTCTCTCTTGCCAAATGATAAAATGGCAGAAATACAACTTGCTGTGAACAAAATACGTTTTATTTTGCTGTAAAAGGGCAAAAGAAATTGTTGTAATAAGTTTAAATGGATACATTATTACATGTGACAAAGATTCCAAATGCAACAAAGAAACAAAAGTCATGCTCACATTCAGTGTTACGCTGCCTCCTTTGGCACACTCCTGCATGACATAATACAGCGTTATTGTTATCTGTTATTGTCTTTTCTTTAATAATGTTCTTAGACTTTCTGGCAGCACTCTTAGGTGGGAAAAGTTGCATCTGAACAAACTAGAAGACTTCCAGAATGTCCTTTACATATATGACACTAACGTGGACAAGTTTAACCATAACATACCTCACCGAAGAAGAAACAGCACAGCAGAAACAGTCTATACCAACTGTCAAGCACACAGTGGTGGAGGGGTGATGATTTGGGCTTGGATCACTTGCAGTCATGGAAAACTCTGTGTTTTAGTGTTCTAGTGTCAAATGTGAGGCCATCTATCCAAGAGCTAAAGCTTGGCTAAAACTGGGTCATACAACAGAACACGGATCCAAGCACACCAGCACATAAAGGCTAAAAAAGAAGGTGTCAAAGTTTTGACTCAGCACAGTTAAAATTCAGACCTCAGTCTGAGTGAACTGCTGTGCATAAATTATTTACTTGCAAACCTCAATCAACACTATGGTAAAGAAGTGTTGGTCAAAATCCCTCAACAGAGAATTGATAGATTGATAAATTCACACAGTGAATAATTCCTTGAAGTTATTGCTGTGAAAAGAAGACCCGCCTGTGCCTCAATTTTATTCTGCAACCTAGACATCCACATTACTCACACTCTCACATAACACATACATATAGGGCCTTGGGGGTGGGCACGTTTTACAGCATCCAGAGGATGGTCGGTGTATTCCAACCCACCTCTGGCGCTGGTGCCCTACCCTCAATTTTAAATGCATATAGACACTGAGGGTTTTCGGGAGGAGCCGTGCTGCTCTCTGATAGGAAGCAGGAACCATGCTCTCCTGTGTTTTAAATGCACTTTAGAACAGCACACAGCAACACTACATATGAGCGGGCGGGAAAAAAGAAAAGAAGACCCGCAGGCTAACAATGACTCTATAACTCTACAGAGTCCTATCAGAAATGTCTTTTTCACATGACTGTAAGTATCTTTCATTACATTACTCTGATGATTGAACACTACCAACAGAAGAGGTTCATGTATAATGTCCAAATCAAGAGTATACAGCCTCATCATAATAACTAATTATATATAAATATGCTTAAATAAGGTGTGCTTCAGTTTTTTGTTGACAGTGTAAATTAACTCTGTCTCTCTGTATAAATATATTTATAAGATATGATCCTGTATGGGTAACCATTATGGATCTAAGAATATAATAATAACACATGAATATGAATTTACATCAGACGTTTTGTGAGTTTCGATTTCTTTAGGTGGACAAATGTTGCTTGATATCCTGAAACAGTGTGTGATTAACTAAAGTCATTGCACACGTTTCTTTTCTTTTTGTTCTATTTTTTCTCTTCTTTTTCTTTTCACCTGTTTTTGGATATTGTCCAGTGAAATGACATGGAGTCTGCCTGAAGCTAAGTGCTATTTTTTTCCAGTTTTGACATTTTGAAAAATAAGTCTGATAAGAAGCTCGGACCACAGACACAAAGCAATGCCTGTTGGACTGTTGGACCAGCCACCCCCGCTGAACTGCAGCTATGAAACAGTTCACTGTGCTCCAGCTCCAAGTTGCAGGGAGATGAACGTGGAGACAAAGGCAAACTTTTAAACCTCAGGTATGTAGATAGCACCACTCTGTCGGCCTCCAAATACATCATGTGGCTGATTCCAGTCTGCCGCAGTTCTGAATGACCCAGCCGGTGGCGTTGACATCAAGCTTCAGTAGGTCCATGACCCATTCATCCTTCTGAGCTCCCTCCATGAACTCCAACAAGGTTATCTCACCTGTTGGGCACAAAAACACGATCCACACTGTTGACTTTATACCACGGCTTCTATGATGTTTGGGGAAAAGTCACATTTTTGCAGTGTTACACCATTGCAGGCAATTGTACATTAAATAATCAAAATGTAACTGAGTTGCAGCTTTAATTCAAGGGGTCTTATTTTATTTATTTCTTTGCATTAAATGTTTAAGAATTACAGCTTTTTCTAGAAACAGTGCCCCAGTTTAAAGGCTCAAAATGAATGGGACAATTGACTGACAACCACTTTCATGGCCAGGTAAGGTCTGCCTCCTTGCTATTTAATGATAAATGAAGCAGACATGATATCTGAAGTTGAATCAAAAAGTAAAATCTGTATTTTATTTGAATTTATAAGAATGAGTGCACAGCTCAGGAATAAAAACTGAAAGAGGGCAAGGAGAGTGCACGATGGCAGAATTATTTCTAGTTAAGAAGAACAACTTCACAACAACTGCTGAAACAATAAAATGTTCTGACATAAAAACAGATTTTAGTTACTAAAAACAAGCTTATTAAGGCTGGATCCACGTCAGACTATTACTGTCTGAGTCACCACCACAGATCCATCAGCGAGCCATGTTCTCTCGTTGCTAATGTTCAGTGTCTGTCACCTACAGTTTGTCCTGTCAGGTTAGAGCTGAATACTCAGATTTCAATATCTAATATAAATTATGGCAGTATAAAGAAATGTACATATTTTTTAATCAGATTCTGTCTATGACAGTGACAGAGTGAACAAAGCTCATTTAAAAATCCTTTCTTTATATGGCCCACAATGATGCATTCATATTACACAGTCCACTGCATGAAGATTGAAGCTCTGCTCTTTTTGCCACAGTGAATCCAAGTATCAGAGCTCCAGTGATGACGATATACTCAGAGATGATTAAAGAGGCTCTCAGAAGAAGCTCCAAGACTCCATCACCTCAGAGTTTATGATTAGATTCATATTTTACTACACCTGCTTCCTCCTTAGAAGAGACAACTGGAACATCTAAATACTTAAAACTAAAAGTGGGTAGTTAACGATAAACTCGTATCAGGTTGTGGTGATTTACTATTTTGGATGCATTGAAATGAAAACAGAACATATATGAAGTCAGTATAGGAACAAACTACAGTGACATGAGACCATGAGACATGTTACGTCTCATGTCTAAGACATTCAGAACAATCACAGCATATTCACAACATAGTGCAGTGGTTTACACTCACCATCATTATTCTGGTCAACCAGCTGGAAGATTCGGTCACAGATTTGGGATGGAGTCATGCTTATGTGAGTCTTGTGGAGTTTGATTTTGTAAAGAATCTGCATGAGACACATGAAATGATGATCAAGCACACTCACATTCAATTTAGATCTAATCTCCTAAATATACAGTGTGTTGTCCTCCAATATGCTGACAGGAAAGTTTATTCTGATCTGACAGGGTCGACTCTGCCAAAGTTTTGTTTCTTTGTGATTTGCTAAATATGATGCATAGCTGAAAAAAGATCCAGGTGCAGACAGCATATTGTGTTGTGGTCTGACACACACACACACACACACAAACACACACACACACACACACACACACACACACACACACACACACACACACACACACACACACCAAAAAAAGGCTAGCTGTACACACACTTGGTCTGTTTGCTAAGATTGTTTTAACATCAGTTAACAAACTAATGACTTAGAATTACTAAGATTTGTTATTTCAAGAAGAAAACAATAAAAAGTGTTTAAAGTTTTCTGTTACCATAAATGACCAGCATTTATGTCTCCAAATTTAGAAGCTTCTAGTAAATTACAACAGCAGCCTCCCAGAATGGCCTCATTATGTGTTCATCTAATGTCCCGTGAGGCTGCATTACATGACCCCTGGGCCTAATCTGGTGCACAGGAGTAGTACTTTAAGCTGTCTTGAAAAGATCTGTGTTATGAAACCAGGTAACTTCTCACAGTTAAGACAGATTACACACAGATGATCCTCCTTTTCTACAAATCTTCACTCTTAACATACTGTTCAAAATAAAAAGAAAAGCCGTGCAGGAAAACTTTGAATCACACAGTTTATCTTACCCTGACAAGCCGTTTCACCTCCGTCCTGTCCAGCCTGCCGTTTCCATCACTGTCATACATCTTGAAGGACCACTTGAGCCGATCTTCAAGATTACCTCGTAAGATCAAGTGAAGTGCTGCCACATACTCGAGGAAATCCAGTGTGTTATCCTGTTTAAAAATAACAAAAAGGTACATTTACAGTGAAGTTGTACATTTATTTTTACAAAGACAAATTGTTCTGTCTTTTTACCTTGTTTGTGTCGAACGAGTTGAATATTGTTTCTATGAAAAGGGACTCCTCTACAGAGCTGCTTGGAACTCCAAAGATCTTCTTGAACTCATGCAGGTGCAGGGCACCGCTCGGACACTCCTTCATGAAAATGACACACAGCTCATGAATCCTTGCCAAGTCCATCTCCTCATTGTGACTTTCTTCTTGTCCCATGGCCTCTGCCAGCTTGAAGGAAAAAACCCCAAGGCGTCTGCTTGCACAGTCAAACTGAAGAGCTTTGGACTGCTGCTTAGCCTCGCTCTCACTAACCTGACAGGGCGTGGCAGGTTAGTGACACGTTAACCTTTTAATTTGCTAATCTCTTGACTTTTAATCAGCAACATCTTGTTATAACACGTCTGAAAGTTTGGCATTGCATGTCATCAATGTGCCAACAGCAGTGAATACTGTGGTGTCTACTTAATGGTAACTTAGGTGGTTAATTAAACCAGCTCTCTTTGATATTAGCAGCCTGTCTGTCATTAGATATGTGCTGCAGCAGAAAGAAACATGGCACTCAAAGAACTGTAAATAGAAATTCTGTAACAGCAGGGAGATAACTCATGGTGAAGGGGTGGGGTTAAATAAGTGTCACTTCTTCCCACTCCTTTTCCATATGTAACTGAATCTGAACAGGTGAAGCAATGTTCGAATGCCCATCCATCCATCCATCCATCCATCCATCCATCCATCCATCCATCCATCCATCCATCCATCCATCCATCTTCTTCTTGACCACTTCTCTGGGGCCGGGTCGCGGGGGCAGCAGCCTAAGCAGAGAAGCCCAGACCTCCCTCTCCCCAGCCACTTTGTCCAGCTTGTCCAGGGGGAACACCAAGGCGTTCCTAGGCCAGCCAAGAGATATAATCTCTCAAGCATGTCCTGTGCCTCCTCCTGGTGGGACATGCCTGGAATAGCTCACCCAGGAGGCATCCTTATCACATGCCCTGACCACCTCAACTGGCTCCTTTTGATGTGGAGGAGCAGCGGCTCTACTCGGAGCCCCTCCTGGATTGCCAAACTCCTCACCCTATCCCTATCTCTTACCTTACCTTATTGTGGTGGAGGGTTTTGTGTGTCCCAGGGATCCCAGGGGCTATGTTGTCCGGGGGCTTTTGCCCCTTGGTAGGTTCTCCCATGGCAAAGACATTGCTCATGACAAAGAGTGATTCAGAAGACCCCTATGAGTGAAAGGCTAAGTTCACCCTGCCTGGGATATGGTTACCGGAGCGCCAGCCTGGAGCCAGGCCCAGGGAGGGTGCCCGAGGGCAACAGTCTGGTGGCTGGGCCTTAGTCCATGGGGCCCGGCTGGGCGCAGCCCGAAAAAGGTACATGGGCCCATCCTCTGTAGGCCCACCACCCGCAGGAGGCGCCATAGGGGTCAGGTGCATTGTGTGCCGAGCGCGGCCAGGAGCGGAGGCCCTGGTGGACTGATCCCCGGCTACCGAGGCTAGCAATTGGGAAATGTTGAAATGTATTAACTTTATTTTATATTGCATTGTTTTCTTCTTGTCGTTGCTAAATGAACTTCTGTATATTGTTCACACAATCGAAATAAATTAAAAACAAACAAGTGTATTGTTTTCTGTGGCGATGCTGATCATCTAGGCAACTGGAATTCAAAAATAATGTGCTTAAGGCATCCTGAAGCCAGAACGTGCCAGAAAGGTATGTGACATGTCATCCGTTTTTGTAATGTTACATGAAGGCTGTTACCTTGACTGTGACATCTACATGTACATCTATGTCCCCGCTGCACATTATAAATAATACGTTTAAGGCACTTTCAATGATTTCACATATCCAGTTTCCCTGATACGTCATGTCTCAAGTCCAGCTGATGCTATAAGACCAATAGATGATGGGTTTCTTTGCGGAGGTTGTGGCAGGAGGTCATCTACTAATAACAATGATGATGGTTCGATCGCTGGCTGCTCCAGTCTGTATGCCACAGTATCCAGAGGTGGGTCGAGTATCCAAAAATTGTACTCAAGTAAGAGTAGCATTACATTAAAATATTAGTCTTCAAAAAAGTTACTCAAATAAGAGTAAAAAAGTACTTGGTGAAAAGACTAATCAAGTAGTGAGTAAAAGGTTATAATGTCCTCTGACAGTATCCTTGGGCAAGATACTGAACACCGACCGGCTGCTGATGTGTTTGTCAGTGTGTGAATGTCAGTTAGAGGACTTAGAAAAAAGTGTTTGCATGACTGTGTGTGAATGAGACATGTTGTATAGAGGACACTGAAGTAGAGCAGCGTTATATAAGAACGAGTCCATTTACCATTTCTAGAAATAGTGTTGTTTGCTCCTCACTCCACCAACACAATAATGTGACAATAATGTCCTTTTGACCACTCAAACAAAAGTTGTTGTTCTCTTCTCACGGCTACATCTCAGCAAGACTTACTTCTTGAAGGGCTTTGACGCTACCATGTAGTCAAATGGACTAAAGATGGTGGAACATGATGAGGCTACCCTGAAATATTTATGAAAAGTTGACCTCTTTTGTCATTTTTCTCACTTCTACACATTTATGTTAATTTATTATTTACAACCAATGCATGTTTAATACAAAAAAACTGGATATCTCAACTCACAGGCCAGTGCCAAAATATTAGGCTTACCTGACATTGTGGAAAAATACAAACTACAGTCACAGACCTCTCAGTTCAGTTTTGATTTCCCAGAGGAGTGCTCGTCTACACAGACTAAAAGCTTTCGCTCTCTACTGACAAAATAAACATGCCTGAAAAAAACATATAAGAACATGTAATCATAACTGGATTATTACATATGCCAGTGTTCTTCTGGGACTGGCTAATATGTGCTTTAAAGCAGTTTGAGTGCTCCAGTAGAATAAAAAAGCACTGCGTAAAAATTAGTCCAATCCATTTATTATGAAGACATTTACATAAACTTTCAACATTCAGTTAAACCTTCAGCAAGCTGTGATTATTATTCTGCTGTCATAAATTCTGTTTATAAACATTTTTTACTTGCATGTATGAACAGCATAGATAGATAGATAGATAGATAGATAGATAGATAGATAGATAGATAGATAGATAGATAGATAGATAGATAGATAGATAGATAGATAGATAGAT